CAAGCAGCCCTTGTCGAATGGCAAGGAAAAATCAAGAAGTTGCTTTGCGCAGTGAAGTCAACCAAGAACTTTCAGGTCAACGTTTTCGAAGAACTCGAGCGTGCAGTCTCTGACATTGGCAAGTCAGTAGAAACTTCTTTACAGTCTTGTGTCAACTCACAGGCAGTTGATGAGGCAACAAGATGCCTTCGGCTAGTGGAGCTAAAGTTGTTGACGCAAGATGGCACAGGTGGCCTGACTACAGAGATTCTGAAGGAGTTTGGTGAGCACATGGAACAAGCTGGCTTGATGAGCTCTGTCCTTGGCGACAATGGTTGTATCTTGAGGAAGGGCCTGTCAATTGTCAACTCTGCTATCCATGGCCGATATGGACTCTGCGTCTTTGGAACTGCTGTTGGGGATGACAGCAAAGAGATGAAACAAAAAATCACGTCAGGTGAAACCAATGCCGTCAAACACTTGATGCCTTTGATGAAATCAAATGAGACGGACAAGCTGCGGGCAGATCTTTGTGAATGCTTGACCTTCATGAAGTACCATCCGGAAGGGGACAAGTCCATTGAGGATTTGGGAGGCTTCATTGTGGATCAGATGAAGAAGCTTTGGGCTGATGCCAAAACTGTGATGACAAACTGGGGTCATTCCTTTCATGACGAGTATGTCAAAGCCAATGACTTTGCATCGTCTCTTCAAGTGCCTGACAAGGTCGCCAAGCTTTCAGAATCGGCAGAGCTGGCAAAGATTCAGCCTGATGTTGCAAAGATGTTTCCGGAACAGACGATTCGAAAGGCAGTCGAGATTTGCGACATCATCGAGAAGCTGATTTCCAGGCTCGAAAGCTTATCCAAAGATGTGACATGCTCACCGGGAGAGATATTTGACATGGGCAAGCTCGTGGCTGTCAGACATAATTGCTGGACATGGCTGTGATTTGTCTGTATTGCTAGTCATGTTTTTGTTTGTGCCACGATCGGTCGACACTTCTTATTTTGTTTGTGCTCCTTCTGCACTCCTGGCTCTTGATATTCAAACTCAGGTCGACTGGCAACCTTCTGAGTTGCATGTGCTCAAAGGCTGTTGTGAGGAGCATCGCTGCTTCAAGCGGCTTGGGTGACAAACCACTCAAGCTGATCAAAGACGCTTTGCATGTTGCGCAAGACAAAGGGCTGGAAATACCGCCAGGATTGCAAGCGATTGCCACCAAACTCATTGGCAAAGCTTGATCCATCTATGTAGTCTTGTTGATTCCCGTCAGTCCACATCAGACTGACCGTGATGTTGTTTTAGTAAATTTCAAGGTTTGTGGCCCGAAAGGGCAAGCCTTCCCATCAGTTCTTGGGGCTGTACAGTGGGTATGCTGCTAAGACTCTAGACTCTACACACTGTAAGAGTATTGAATATTTTTATGTTTGATTCCCAATTCCCAGAATTCCTCGAGAACTTTTTTCTGCAATAGGCAGCCAGGCAAGATCAAGTATCACTTGGGCTAGTTCTGAGTCCACCCAAAGCAATATGGCGCTTGGGTTGGAGCAGCTGTTGGAGCTTGGGCCGGACCAGTTCGACCAGGGAGCATAGAAGAAACACTTACTCCGACTGCTGCTCAAGCTTCCTGTTCAGGCTGTTCAGGCATGCACGCACACATACGTTAGACTCAGACTGACTTTGGACTCTTCAAACTTCAATCTTCAGACTTCAGATTTCAATAGGTGTAACTGTAGGACTATCTGGCTCGAGATTCCGCGCAAAACGGAGAACATCTCACTCATTATGGGCAAGCGTGGTACCTCATCTAGCTCACCCAAGCCTCCGCCGCCAGTCAAGGCAAAAGCCAAGACACCAGCATCAGCTAAACCGAAGCCTAAACCTAAAGCTACAGCCAAGCGCACCCCTGCTAAGGCTAAGGCCAAAGCAGAACCGACTTTTGAAGTCGAAGTTATCCCAAAGGTGGCAACAGGTGTGGCGTCACCAAATTCAAGGAAAGCTCAGTACAGCCGCGAAAACTCTAAGCCTACCGTTGATCTGCCGGTCAATCCAAAGGCTGATATGTTTTGGCAGGGCTGGGCAAAACCAGCACCACCATTGCCACCACCACCCAAGGCAGCTATGCCTATGCCGCCTGTGTCGTCAGTCTTGAGAGAGGGTGAGTGTGATGTTGTTGTGTCCGGTTGTCTTGCTGCGGAAGCGAGCAAGCCTTCTGCGTCTGCCACTCATTCGGAAGCCCTTTGGCTGAGTTGCGCTTCCATGTTTTCATTTGAATCGGTGATGGCCATTTAGCTGTAGACGAGTTCGCTTGCGATTCAGACTTAGACTTAAACTTTGACTTCTCTTTTCTACGTGTGGGGTTTCAGCGGGCATGGTGGCATTCAGGAACAACACCTTGCCCCTGAAGAAGAGGAGGAAATATTGGCGGCTCTTGCAGATGCGCTTGATAATCCAGGACGCTTCCCTTTATCTCGCCACAGTTAACTAATCGCCGTTGAGTTGCCGCGTGCGCACACATGTTGCAGACTGTGGATGTATGCAGGACAAGAAGAGACTGAGACATGCGCGGCTACTACAGCTACCAATGTTGCTGATGCTTCTGCTGTGACTGCCAGTACTGATGCTCAGGCTGATGAGGTGAAGGTGAATTCGTGTGAACCAGAGAAAGCAAAGGCTGGTGAGGTGAATGTGAAATGTGAACCGTGTGAACCAGAGAAAGCACAGGCTGATGAGGTGAAGGTGAAATGTGAACCGTGTGAACCAGAGAAAGCAGTTGATGGATCAGCAAATGCTCAACCGGATGATGCGTCTGAGATTCCACCTCCGCCTCCAACTCCATCTGCGGAAGTGGAGGCTGGTATGATGGACGAGGGTAGCGAGATGGATGATAATGCTGATGATGTCATGGAAGATGATGATGATGCTCACAACCTGACCCATGATGGTGGTGATACGCCGTTTGATGAGCTACCTTTACTGGAGCAGTTTGCCGATGACAGGTTCTTAGATCTTGAAGAGTCTTTAGCTGTTTCACATTGTCCTGTCTTTCTTGTAGGTCTGGTTGCTACTTGTGACTGTTGAAATGTGCGACTAGGAATCGTTGGAGCTCATCATCAAGAAGTATGGGGGTGATACTTTGGAGATGAGTTTGATTTCCTTACCGCGGACTATCCGGTTGATGTCAGCATGCTCTGGTTCAGGTTGTTTCGAATTGGCTACACATGCGGCATTGTGTGAGATCAACCGCCGTTTCAAGCGATTCAGAATGGAGAACCAAGACACTGATCCTTTCCACTTCAAGGCGCGCTCACTGTCACCCATGTGTCACAAGTCACATATTGTGGCATTTCGTTTGACCAAACCGAATTTGAATTCCGATTTTTTGCCTTTCAGGTGTCGACCAGTTTCCTCTGCGAAATTGTTCCCAACAAACAGAAGTTTTTGTTGGAACATGTGATCAAGCACCAAGTTGAGACGGAGGAGGAGAGAGCAACATATTGTCACCAGCCAGATCTACAGCGTGGTAGTTAGTAAGCTCAATGGGTTGTTTCTGTTTTTTGTCAGGAGACGCCGTGTCTGTTTGAAAACATCATCAACCTCAATGATGGTGAAACGCGACGATGCATTGTACACTCTGCTGCCTGTGTCACTTGTTTTTTGACAAATCAATGTTGCACGTTTGGCAGCTCTTGTGTGATTTGATGCGATACACGATGTGCTCCCTAGTTGTTTGTTTACGGCCCAGGAATTGGATCGTTTTGATCCAAAGAAAGGAGATGCGGATGATTTGTCTATCTTTGCTGCAGGCTTCAGCTGCAAGTGGCCTGGCAGTCGCTTTTGGAGTCAGTTATACTGTGTTACTTTTTGGGATTGAACTTGCTATAGTTGGGAATTTGAGCAAGGTCCTTTTCCAAGATGAACATCAATTTCACAGAACTCCGCACTGCCCTGGCTGACCAGAAGGAAACTTGTCGTTAGTCACAGTCAAACGAACCAACAAGCAAGATCTTCTGAACTTCTGACTGAAGAATTGCTACGCTGACACTGTCACTGTTGGTTGGAGTTGGCATTATGAAAGAAAGATACATTAACAGGTAGTAGTAACATAAACATATACGGGCTTAGGAATGTAGCTCCTTGGCTACCTTCCGTGGGGTGCTTCACATTGTGCGAGAATGTCGGCCTCGCATAGTGTTGCTCGAAAACGTGGACAGTATAGACTCTTCAGTTGGCCAAAGTGATAGCAGCGATAAAGAGTTCGATGCCCAGAGAGCTAATTGAACTTACGCTGCTTGACATGTCTTTTTTGTGGGAGCAGTATGAACTCAGTCAGTTTAGCCTAAACCTGCTGTTAAGTTGACCCAGGGCGAAATCGAACCTACAAGTGGTTTTGACCCAGATCTCCGAGCTTGGATACAGCTGCAGGGCAGAGAAACTGAAGGCATCTGAATACGGAGTTCCGCAGCGCCGCACCAGGTACTATTTTGTATGTGTTCGTCAGAACGGTGGAAGCGCACTATCAGAGCCAGCGGATCTGTTGGTTGAACGGATCATGGATCGGGTTCTGTCATTACGGCGTGAATGCAGGCACAACCCAGTCTGAGCCCCAATATATCCTCCGACTCCACCCAAGTAAATTTGACGCTTTTTGTAACCTGCCTAGTACCCATTGCTTCCATGTTCTGAGGACTACTTCTTGCTACCTGATTCGCATGGACTTGTCCAAATCGAGCTCAACCGACGTGTCAGCAAGAAGAAGGACGGTGAAGCAAAAGACAAGGCTGCGTGGCCAGAGCAGCATAGCGCTCTAGCGGAGAAGTGTGTCTCGTCGTAAACATATTTTATTCAATTAGTGTCATTCATTCATGGAATTATTCATTCAAGGATAGTCAAGTTTTAATATGTTTCGTGTGTCCGAGATGGCGTGCAATGGCCACTACAACCTAGCAAAGAGCTTGCGTCTTCTGTTTGGTATGACGTCCTACCTGACAGGGAAAAGGAGGCACGTCTTTTCCGTTCAAATGATTTCGACTACTGTATTTCGTGTCTATGGGCCAACTAATACTACTGGAATATAATAGCATTCCGTCAATTGTTGACCGGAGGTGCTGTGCTTCGTCAACATCATGAACGAGCGCATCACCAACGTTGATGACAAGATTCAGTATGTGGACATTTCGCAATCTGCAACGCGTCTACCAACCTCGACACGTGGTTCTCAGGCTTCAATTCCGTCTTCGAACAACATGATTTCACTGTCAGTTTATTTCGAGAATGTTTTAGTTTTGACTAAAACCTGTCAGGTCACGCCAACCATTTTGCCAGGGTCAAAACTCTGGCACGTGGGTCGGAAGCGCTTGTTGTTAGGACGGACTCTCACTTGACTCCACCAAAAAGACCACAGCAGTATAAGGCAATCAACCCAATATCATATTATGGACTGGAATTGAAAACTGCAATAGACATAAGACGGTATATAGCAAGTTTCCGATGAATTATTTTTTTCCCATGAAACAGTTGCCATGCAGGAACAGAGCTCATGGCTCTTCAAGGGCTACCAATGACGGAGTTCCCAGAGAACATCTTGACAACTTTGTCACAGAAGCAGTGCGCAGACCTTGCGGGAAACATGTTTCATACTTGGAAACGAGGGAAAACAAAGAGTATAGGATGTATAGGCTATATTAATAGCATCACTGCATCGAAACCGAAACACATAGCAAAAAGAAAAGGTATCGGCCCGTTTCGGCTTAGGTTTGCAGTTCCTTGTGTGATGGCAGTTGTCATGTCGGCTTTGTCCACTCTCCGTTTCGAGACGTACAGTGAAGAAGAAGAGCTGGATGCAGTTGCAAGCTCAATGCAGAAATGGTGCAAGAGCTAAATTTTAGTGTTTGACCTTAGGGCGACTCGCGCTTGGGGAGCGCGAGTCGAAAGACCCAGCAAAGCGTTCAAAGCATCAAAGATGCATAATCGCACTGTTTTGCAGGACACAGACAAACCATTCCTGCAAGTGCCGCGCAAAAAAAAGGTGATTTCAGTACTTTTGTCCCTTCACTTCAGTCATTTTCACTCCCAACCTAACTTACTAACTCTGTGAGTTGTGAGAGGTGACCTTCAAACAAAAATCAGCCTCTCAGGAAGCTCACATGACAGTCGACCAATGAGTTCTACCATGCGCACCACGCATGCTTCTGCGTACCATCACCCGCACCAAACAACCGTACCTTGCACCTGTACCAGTACCTGGACACGTACCGAACAAGCGTACCCACACCCGCACCCGCGCCCGCACCCGCACCCCCACCCGCACCCCAACCCGTACCTCTTATCGTACCCCATCTCCGTACCTACCCAGGGTTGCCGATAGAGCACATCTCTTGGAAATAGCTAACTTATGACAACAAAGAACCCACTATTCGAGGCTCACTGGACCTTACAGCCACACAGGTGGCGCAAGCCACGATAGTCTTCCAGCAGGCGCTTCTGCCCCACCCACTGTGGTTAGGCCCGCTACCGGTCTGTCTCGCAGAATACCATCAAGGCAAGGTGAGGCGCTTACGTCTCGTCTTAGCTGCTCTGACGCACTTGACCAAGGCGGAAATTGCTAGCCTGCGAGAAGGGCCCCGCCTGCCTGGTGGAACGGTCTTGCATGACCTCGTCTATGGTTACGCAGTTGATGCTTCGCCTGAGCCGGAGTGGTTGGTCATAACAGATGGGCAGCAGCCAGGACGTTGGCGACTCCTTCACAATAGCTTTGGCCCAGGGCAAAGGTGCAGCGTAGGAAGCTCCCTGCGCTATCAACCAACGCCATGCACCGGTGAACAGCGCAGTGCACAGGATTACACCCTCGAAGCCTTGCACCGAGTGTACTTTTATGACGCATGGAGAGTACAGCCAGTCCTGGATGCCCCCGGGTCTGAACTCGTCCTGCCGCCGCAACCGGGCCTTCTAGTGCACGGCTGTTATTGGCCTCAGCCAAGTGCAACACCTGATGTCCTCTCTGTCTCTGACCGTGTCACAGAAGAAGAAGAACGCGGCGTACAAGCGGGACAGCCCGTGTCCTCTCCTGCGGCGACAGATGCCACGATGGCCGACGAAGAAGCAAGTGAAGCAGTCTCTGTCCACAGCTCCTCCTCAGAGTCGCCTACCATGCCGAGCGCAGTGCAGCCGGAGGAGGACGACGCGCACATGGAGGACAGTGACAGTGCTACCACCTCCTCTGCAGATGAGGGTGATTGCCTTAGCAATCATCCGGCCTCCCCCGAAACGCGTCCAGCGCAAGACGAAATGGTGGCAGCAGAAGATGAGGTAAGCAGTACGCTGCCCCCGCAGGGCGTGGACCCCCAAGGTAACAGCCCCACATCGCACTTCTCTGAGTCCCCAATCAAACGAAGACCGGAGTCTAAGGCTAGTGCAGGGAGAGCTCAGTCCAAAAAGCTACGGCAATCACTTGCTCCAGCATCCAAGCAACCGCTTGGTAGCATCCCTGAACACGAACAACCACCGGCCACACTGGCAGACCTCGCCAGTCGGAATGCTCAAAGGCAGGAGGCTCCCGTTTGCAGGAACCCCGAGACACCGCCTGACCATCCAGGATCAATGCAAGAGCGCCCACACGCCATGACAGAAATTGATATTGCCAGTGATCAAGGGCATGCAGAACGAGGAGGCACTGCTGCCACTGATCTCCAGCTGGAATCTGAGCAGCGAGCCATGCAGGCACTATACGACTATCAAAGTGCGGCTCGAGCAGCCAGAGAAGCGGACGGACAAAGTGTGCCGCTCCCCTCACTGCAGATCTACAGTGACCTGCCTAGGGAATGGCCGATGGCGAGGCTTGCAATCTCCAACAAGCAAATTAACCGCCTCGTCCGTACATTCCTCTGGAGGCGGGTGACAGAAAAAGCACTCCATGGCTCCTCCTTTGGGGACATTCCAGACGAAATTAACCAAGGCTACATAGGAGACCTTCACCGTATAAGTGAAGCTTTTGCTGCTCCCGGAGGTGGCCATCATGGTCTTGGAGGGCACGATCGTGGTCTCTCGTCAGTGGGTGCACTGGGGAGTGGTCTGGGTGGAAGCTGTTCAGGTTTCCCTGGGGGTGGAGAAGGACCACCTGGCGGGGGCTATCGTGGTGCTCCTGGGGGTTTTCCAGCTGGAGGAGGAGGCTTTCCGCGTGGAGGCCCGGTTGGGGCTTTCCGGGTGGAGGACCGGGTGGAGGCTTTCCTGGAGGAAGACCAGGCGGGTGCTCCCGGCGGTGGACACCCAGCGCGCCCTTTCATCACTCAAAAACAGTTAGCCCTTTATGCAAGCCCTCGTTTCTGGCAGTATGGCCTGCTTTCCTTTATCGCAAGGTGCTGTTCCTTTGATAATCAACACAGACACCAGGGTACAGGAACAGCTCAGGCAGTGGCTGTGAAGCCACAGAAAACAAAGGAAAAAGATGTCGATGCCCTCACCTTTATGCAAACGGTCATCATGTCCTTTGTTAGGGGAATGGAGTATGGTGAGCAAACGCTACCCACCAATGACCTCTTTGTCTATCTCCCGGTGCAGATCCTGCCTGACTTGGTTGTAGCCATGGAGCGGCAGGGCTTCACGCCCGCGCAAGTGAAAGGGGGCTACGGCTACCGACCCAAAGATGAAGAAGCTGAAGACAACCCTCTGCTTGTTGTGGGAGTGCACACCAAAAGAAATTGCTTACGACCGATACCCCCAAATGCCGGATACGTCCTGGGCTGAAAGAGCTTACTCTTGTGGTGCCCTTGACCCGTCTTTAGGACAAGCTATCTCGTTTCCTTCCCTTCTACAGCTGAGGCTGCGCATTGAAGTCCCCTTGTGGAGAGACCTGGCAACTGCCAGACACCCCTCTGCAGACTTGCCTGCAGAAGAGGACTCTGCCTCTGATGCTACCGGGTCAGCTGAGCGATCGCCCAGGTTTGCGCTCCCGGTGCCAGTGGGGACTGCTGAACCACCAGAAGCTGGTACGGAGGAAGCAACTGAGGAAGAGGACATGGCAGCAGAACCCAACTACGCCTTTGCCAAGGGATACGGACGTTTCGGCATAGGCTATACCAGGCTAGCAACGGCGCTCGGCAATTTTGAGCAAGGGAACATCCAAGCAGAAGGTACAGTAGTAGCTCAGTGGCTGACCTCCGGGCTAAGGGTTGCCATGTCCCGCACAGGGTGGAATCTGCTGTCTCCCCGCTATACGCTGACCAGAATTCCCAGTACTCTCCTCAGTAACCTAAAATGGAAGATCGCCCGTATAACCAATATGGCCAGTACCTCTACACAGAAGGCCGATGGGACCAGCTCTGCGCATGGCTCACTGGAAACCCCACGTTTAGGAGGCAGCTCGCAGGCCACAAGCAGGCACTTAGGGACCAAATGGGCTACAGTCAGGAAGACTCCGATCCGCATAATAAAGCTCGCCGCACCGTCCCTCCTCCAGGAGAGGGAAGCTCCTCGTCTGCAGCAGGGTCTTCCTGTCACATCAGGCCTCCCCCACCGCCTCCGCCTTATGGGTGGTGGCAGTAGGGCGGTCTCTAGTAGGAGTCTCCGCACACAGTCACCGCCTCCTAGTAACTTGGACTCCTTCATGAGATGGGTGGCCTTAGCCACCCTACTTCTTGTTGTCGGAGTATTTTTATTTGTTTTCGAAATGACCGCATGTTCGCTACCTCAATTGTTTGGCCCAAGCAACTCGAGCAAGAACGTTCGGACTGCCGCCTACAGCGACAATGCCGCTTGACCAAGACCGATATGAGGTCAGCATTGATTTGGTGACGATAGCAGGCACGGAATATGCTATGCAAACAAATCTCGCTCAGTATGAGGACGTGGCAGAGCTGGAAGATGACATTCTCTGCTTTCTGCCAACAGTCTCTGATTTGGATGTCTTTGGCTGTGAGCTGGACCTGCTCGACCTTCACACGCAGCGACCCCTGCCAGTTCCACACGGTGCTCCTGCAACGGCCGAAACTACAAATCGTAGTACGTCCCTGCATGGTAGATGGACACTCCATCTGGCAGTTCCAGGCTGACGGTAGGGAAAGCTACCCCAAGGCTATACGCGTCCCGGCCAACCCGCATGGAGAAATTGCTGACAGAGCCTTCTATGCTGCACCCGTGCTCCGGCGCGTAGAAGTGGCAATGGGCATTCAACATGTAGGAATCGCGGCCTGGCAGAGTTGTCAGCAACTGCAAATTGTCAAGCTCCCACCCTCTGTCATAAGTCTTGAAGATGGGACCTTCCAGGGGTGCTACGTGCTGCGAGAAGTGGCCGCCCCAGGATGTGTCCAGTACAGCCGAAGAGTGTTTGCGGAGTGCTGCTCCCTTGGTCGAGTTGGTGTCAGTCACGAAACGGATGACAGTAATGTCCTTGCACCAGGGGCACAGCTAGGCAGATATGCATTTGAGAGTTGCCTCACACTTACACCCATCATCTTTGTCATGGACCACACCAATAAACCTCGAGCGCTGCCTGAAGGCGCATTCTGTGGAGCAGGCATTGAACAGCTCTGTTTGCCAGGTGACTTTCACAATATCGGGCCACGGGCCTGTGAAAACTGCAAAGGACTTGTGGAGGTCAACCTCATGCGCACAGAAATCACAGCCCTGCTCCACTCCACCTTTGCCCACTGCGTGGCTCTGAATTGTATATGGCTTCCGCCGCGACTAACGCAAATTGGCAAAGAAGTTTTCCTTAATTGTGTTGCGCTCCAAGAAGTGGTCATCCCGACAGAGCTCAGTGACATAGGCATCCGTGCTTTCTGTGGGTGTGAGCAACTGCAACGATTTACGCCCCTAGATTGGGGGGAGATTGAACAGTCGGTGCAGGCAGAGCACAATGCTTTCTTTATGTGTGACAAATTTGAAAGACCACTGTGGGTGGAGCTGCTCCCCGCTGAAGGACCCGATTCGGATGCCTTTGACGAAGAGCTATATAAAGAATTTTCCTAACATCGGGCCAGTCCATGCGGGGGTCATGGTGGGTGCCTTAGCATCTGTCTCTAG